CTGGACACAACACTTTGCACCTGCGCAGCTGCGACGGTAAATAGGATCACGAAATATCACGTACAGGACAAGATGCCGCGGCACTTCACACGACTCCTCCTACAGCAGACTCAAGTGTCAGGTGTCTTTCTAATGTTGATGCTTGCAAAAACTTCACGAGCCACGCTGGGATCAGATGGGTTTTTGGCGTGGCTGCGTGGAGGCTTCGGCCAAGGCTCCGGCTCCCACTCCGCCGAGCAAGGTGCCAAGCAGCCCACCAGGCTAGCGCTCGTCCGTCACATGAGCAGTCGCAGACATGAGCACTGTGCACCGGGACACTCGAAAGGCCAGCTCCAATCTGCTGCGGAGCCTCCGGCGGAACCGGCGGCGGTCCCGGAGGCGCGCAGCATTGTATCTCTCCGGTGATGGAGCGATCTCGGGTTTACGTCGTCCATGGAAGGCGCCGAAGATTCAGACACCTCCAAGTGCTTCGAGCCCCTCGCCCAGACGATGGGAGGCAGTCGCTTCGCAGGGTCCAAGCTGTTGGCTCTAGAATCTAAAACCGAAGCTTAGGCCCGACGGCGGTGAAGCAGGCAACGCACGTTGCTCGTAAGTTGCTCGTATAAGGTTTCGGGATATCGAGCAGTTGGTGTCTCTCCATAGGTTAGGGGCTTTCTCGGAGACTTGAGCGTTTTGCTGCGGACAGGATCACCTTAAAAGTGCCAGGTCTAGCTGATGTGGGACACGAGATGCCACGAACCTCCTGCGAGCAGATGTCGTGCCAGGTCCCACGTCTGCCTCTGCAAGCCACGCTTCCTCGCAGCCCACCTGGTCCGCCGCCGTGTTTTCCTCGCGCATCTTTCTAGAGACCCAAATGTTGTTGATTTCGGACTAGCTTGAAGATAAGGGTTGCACACATATGTCTGCATGCATTGCTCGGCATCGGCATTGTTGATCCGATTGACTACACATGAACCTGGATGGACTCCTTTGAAGATCGTGTCGAGACTGCCTGAGCAACTCGTGAAATACGGCTATTGACATGCTTGCTTCTAGGCAGATTGGGTTTCCGTCGACATGTCTCCTTGAGTCCTGGAGGAGAGAAGGCGCCAGATGCAGCGGAGGAGCTGCAAGTCTGGGTGTGGGATTCGGCGAGCCCTTTGCAAAGAGGAGCCGGTCAAGTCTATTATCACAATCAGATGCGCAGGAAACCTCCCCTCCTCCTGCCCCGTCGAGGCAGAGGCGGACAGTGGGTTGTTGCACGACCAGGGGCTAAGACAAGTAAACAGGATAAGAATGATATGGGTGCCTGCACCCAGCCAAAGAGCAAGCAGGTCTTTGTGGGTTTCGATTTGGAAGAAAGTTGCATACGGGCTCTAGCATGAGCCATGCCCTCAGACGCAGGTGCCCAGCTGGACGGAAAGCCTCCCAAGTGCCGTCAGCGCAGGACGCCGGAGGTGCCACCCAGCTCGGAAGAGGCGAAGCCGAAGGAGACAGAGGCCGGGCTCCTGTGCCCCTGCTGTAAGTTCTGTAGCTCCCAGCTCGGTTCCCAGTTCTCCTGTTTGGACATCTTTGTGATGCAAGCTATGCCAGCTATGCAAGCAACAAGGGGAAACGACAAGTGGACTCGGAGCTGTAGTGAGGCCTACTTGGGTACTGAGGCAAGCTCGCCTGCGGATGCAAGCCCTCCGCGCGAGGCGAGAATGAGCGAGGTCCTTGCACTTGTGGTTCCAGCCTCCGCGCGAGGCCGCATTCTGGAAACCCTCTTTTCTGCTGAAGCCCAAGGGGCCCAAGGCCAGGCTGCTTTTTGTGCTTATGCTTGTGACTTATGACATAATATCACAAGCCCATCCATCCTTTATACTTTACCCTTAAGGAAGCCCGCTGTGGCGTTTCCCGCACGTCTGTTTCTCGAGTGTAGGACTTCCGGCCCAGGGGCTTTGTTCCCGGATTTTCGTGCACCGCAAGGTGCTAATCGTGTAAGGCTTGCGCAGGCCAGTGCCTGTCGCTTTGTCTCTTCGTGGAACCCGCTGAAGTCATTTGGAGTGCGGCGATGAGCCTGAAGGCTTCGGGCCTCTGGACCTTTGTTGGATCTGTCCATTTAAGCTGGTTCACCACGTAGAGCTTAGTCGTGAAGCACACCGGTTAATGTGGCAGCCCAGTATTGAAGCAAAAGAGCAAGCAGTCAGTCTTTGCGCCCACTTTTCAAAGAGCCGAAAGTCTGGCGACGGGCGGCAGCGGCCCCTTGACACACTGACTGTGAGCATCATCCAGTCCCTACAGCTCCACAGGGCAGCACGTGCCAGCCAGCGGGGTCCCATCGCACGCGCTCCTGGAATTCCGTCCACGAGTGGAGTCTCACAACCAGTGGTGCGGTGCCTGCAGCTGCAGTGCAGCGAAGCAGGCAAGCACTTTGCAACCCTTCACGTTATGCCGGCAAAGGAGCCGCCACCAAGTCAAACAAGAACAAACTATAGCGGCCAGTGATGTGTAGGGTCAGGGTCACATCACATCCACCTCACCTGCATTAACGGGCAAAGCTGCTGCGAGGGCGCCGGAGAAGCAAGCAAGGGTGGCCCCAGCCCAGGGCCACCATGCATGAAAACTCCTGACAAGAAGGCAAGCAGAAGTTCGTCACAGCTGGAAAACCGCAGAGAAAAAATCCTGTTTTGCAGCAACATAATTCGCCAACTTGTCGCAGTGGTATCAAGTAGCAGTAGCAAGTGGTGTAGTAGTTGTTTTGCAGTGGAGCAGTAACAGCAGTGGCAGACAGTTGCAATAGCAGTAGACGCTCTGGACACAACACTTTGCACCTGCGC